CTATAGGCTATTTTTATAGAAATGAATAAACTGATATTAAATTTCCTACAGAAATGCAATAGTCCAAGATCACCCAAAATAATTTTGAAGAAGATAAATCAAAGCTGTAATACTTACATTGGTTGATTTGAAATGAACTATACAATTATTGATACAGCAAGAAAGGGGGACAAGCAAATCAATGGAAGAGAATGAAAGGTCAAAAAATAGAATTTCATTAATATGGTTGCAAAGACAATTTCATGTACAGGACTTTCAGGGGTAGTCAGGAGCAATTTGATACCCATATATTTTTAAAAAGAACTTTAGTCCATCACCCCACATAAAAATAAACAAACCTTCATTTTTTTCATGAAACTTAAGTATTAAACATAAAACTATAAAATTTCTAACATTACACATACAAGAAATCATTATTACCTTAAGTTAAATAACTTACTTTGCTGTGGCAGCAGAGACTATATGCAAAATTTAAAAATAAATACACGAATAACATGCTCCTTATTTAAATTATCACAAATGAAAATCCCACTTCCAAGGGAAAGAGTGAGGGAAAATGAATGAGAATTTGTGAATAAAAATGGATGAAGGAATCTGTGAATAAGAATGGACAAAGGAGGGTGTCAAGAAGAATGGATGAGGAAGAGTATGACAGAAAACAGACAAGTACACTGGGACAATATCTGAAAATCTTTAATCTGACAGAGCCCTTGCTTGGAGAGTATATATAGGACTCTTACAGAGTAATTAGGAAAGCAGTAATCCAACCTTTAAGAATAGACAAAAGTTTTGAACGGGCACTTTCATCAAAGATGCACAGATAAACAACAAAGAAGCCTACCAAGACAAAAATTTTTTTAAAAATCTGGCATTGACCATTAAGAAATGGAAATTGAAATTGAAAGGAAATAAACATATTTCTACTTGGATAGCTAAAATTTAAAAGATTTGTCACATGAAGTTCTGGCTTGGATGTGAAGAACTTATGAACGTTCTTAGAGAATCCTGGCAGAAGAAAAACTTGATAAATCTACTTAGGAAAATAGTTAACTACTATTTTTTCTACTACTACTTTTTCTCCTAAGAAAAAGTTAAAACTGGCTCTACCATCAACTCTTAAGTTACTTACACAATGGAGCTAAAGAATGTGTACATAGCCTTGCATGTGAATATCACACATGAATATCCAGGGCAATCATATTTAAATGGATACATGGCTTCATCCCAATCTAACTCCCCACAATGTCCATAAACAGGTGAACAGATACACAAGGAGCAGTGTATCTGTTCAGTGCAATACTACTAAGCAACGCAAAGAAATGGGCTAAATGTACCAAGGCAATAGCAAGGATGGATCTGAAAAGAATTGTGCTAAGTGAAAGAAGTCAGAAAATGTGTACATGTGAGTTCCTGAACATAACTTTTTAAGTAAACATAAATTGAGCTGAAGTAACAGAGAGCAAATGAGTGTTTGACTGAAAGAAAGGACACAGAAAGGGAGCCCAAGGGAAGCATGACAAAAAGACATGAAGAAACAGTTCAAGGCAGCAAGCTATCCCATCATAACATGGAAGCAGAGGGAGAAAGAATGCAGCATCTGTAGTCAAGAAACAGAGCAATGTGCTCAGGATTCCTGGTGGTCTGCTCACTTTTCCTCCACAGGCAGTTCAGAATTACCTGCCAAGGGGATGCTCCACCCTCAACTGAGATGGCTTTCCCCCCATCAGTTATTATAATAAGGTAACACCCCAAAGACATGCCTGGAGGTTCAAGTCCTTGGTAACTGTAGGTCCTGCCAAGTTGACAGCACTAACCCTTCATACCTGGGACCTTGCAAAGTCATAGTGATTAGCTATAGAGCCAGATGTGGTCCTGATAATCCATTTTCTGGTTCTAATAGACCTCTGTGCCTTCTCTTACAGATCTTTAGAGAGAAAATTGAGCAAACTTTCATGAGAGTAAAGTGTTTAGATTTGTAAACAGAAAAGGGAACAGATGTTTTAAACCTCTTCTTCAAGTCCCACACAGTACCAAGTCCTCAGAAAGTTAGCTGATGGTCTTCATACTCATGTTTGCAACTGTCTTCATGAGAACATAAGTTCTGGGAGTTGTTTAGAGTCTGGCAACTAAAGATGAAAATTAATATGATTAAGTATCTGACAAGTAATGCTTCTAACACAGAGAATAAGAGTGATTTGTTAAGAGAAGTCGGTATGTAGTAGAAATTTACTGAGGGGAATGTGGAGACAACCAGGGCATCCCACTGATGCCTTGAAACAGGGATGAATCGTGTTTTCAATATATGCACAGACCCAGAGAGAACCCAGGTGACGGCATCCCTGAAATGATGAAATTCATGAGGAGGCTGGCTAGGAAGCACCAGTGGCATATTCTGGAGGCACTGAACAAGCAACATGTACCACAGTAGGAGCAGAGGCAGAGACAAGTGAAGAAAGATATTCTACCCATTCTCATTCTATTCTGCTCAGGGTTTTTCCTTAAAGAAACAAACACATAAACAGACATACATGTAAGCCATATCCTGTTCTCCAATTTGTGAGTTATGTGGAATCTGGCTATGTTTAAGGAAGAGCTGAAACACAGAACATTCAAGGAGTCTTCCCAGTTTCACATAATGATTAGTGGATGTCAAGGGAGGTAGTTAATGCAGATAAAGTAAAACACAGAACTGAAGGAACAGGACTCCAGTGTAGGCTTGGCCACCTTCCATCACTTGCCTGGGAGAAAATTATTTCCTGGTACTTTATCTGCAAAACAAAAGTACAAAGAATATTGGAAAGAGCAGTGACAGTGGAAGGATTTGAATATGAGGATAAATAGATTTTAAATAATGAATGGATGAATGATGAGCTGGGCCTATAGCTCATGGGTAGAGGGCTTGCCTAGTGGGAAGTACTCAATTCAACCCTTAGTCCGAGATAGAAGTGTGTGTGGAAATATATGAGCGGACTTCTGTCTGTGCATGATTGAAGATTTAATTTAGATGATCCAAATAGTCATATTTTTAACTAGTACAATTTTATCTACAATGTTAAGGCTTTCTGGAAACACATTTTATGTGGGGAATAAATAGGGTAGGTTCATTCTTCCCTTTAGCTCTCTTTTGCATATGTGTGTTGGTGCATGAGAATTTGTGTTTATTTGTGTACATGGTCTGGGACAACCCTTGTGTCATTGTTCTAGTTCTATTTTTCTTTTTTTTTTTTTAGTCAAGTTCTCTGGTGGGATTCAAACTCACAAAGTAGGGCTAGCCAGTGAGTTCCAGGAACCTCACCTTCTCTGCCTCACCTGTGCTGAAGTTATAGGAGTACCCTTCCAGCTATTTTTAGTTGGGCTCTAGATATTACACTCAGGTCCCCAGATCACTCAGTGTGGCAAGCAATTTAGTAATTGAGTTGTCTCCACAACCCCTTTCTTTCTTGTGGACATGTAGATCAAGCTGACCTTGGACTTCTGATCTGTCTCCCAAGCATCTTACTTCATTAAGTCATTGCCGATGCAGTGTTTTCAGGGACAAACAAAACATGGCCTTTAGGATATTTGGAGGATCTGGATGCATTTGTAAAACCTAAGGCCACTTGAGAATATACAAGCGAAAACTCACTTAAATTTCAGAGGAAAGGACAGATGTTGGTACATGCAGGCTTAATATTTCTTGTATCTCTTGTGTTGTTATGCTTATTTGTGGCTTGGACAATGGAAATAGTCTTGCACATCCCATGAGTGATAAGCTAAAAATGTGCAATCCTCCCATAAACCCAATAATTCCATTCATCTAATCACTAATCTGGCCGGAGGGGGGGGTTAGGGGGAGAACTGGTTAAGTCACCAAAAGCTATAGAATGAACCCTTTGAATGTAACTAAAGTGAGAGCACCGAATCCTAACCACTAGACCACCAGGGAAACAACGAATGGAACTAAAGTGGAAGGGAATGATTACGGAGCAGTTTCAACCAAACAAGATAAATGGAGAGATGCTATTTCCTGTTCCTCTGGTGTAAACAAGGAAGCTGTCCCACAGGCCTGGCCACAACCTGCATGCCTCAAGGCCACAGTCCTTTCTTTCCTTGCATTTTCCCTAAGGGAGAATTCTGCATCATAAAAGAAAGAAACTCAATATGAATTCTTTCCAGAAATGATTTGAGATCTGCGTTTGTGACATCTTATTATAAGACAAGCTAACATCTATTATTAATTGATGCACTAATTAAAGCCATACTAGCAGTTTCCATTAGCTTATTCCCTAAATTCTCCAGAGTTGGCTGTCTGGTTTTAATCAAAACCAAATGGTAGTCCAAGCTCCCAGCGTGGAGCAGCTAGGAGGAAGTCATTCAGTGAAGGCACAAAAGCAGAAAAGATAAACAGATGAGAATTCACAAACTGTGTGTCTGGGGAAGGATGCACACTCTGCTAGCCACTTTAGAGATCTGATTGAGGGACTCAGCCATCCAGGAGGAAGCATTGCAAGTGTTTAATGTCAGCACAACTCTAACATGATCAAGATGGAGTCTGCCTTCTGCCTTTCCAGCCGTGGCTGTCTGTAACTGGAGGATCCGGACTGTAGGTAAGGCTACATGTGATGAAACACAAATCACTGTGTTCTGAGAAGATTTCTGGGGATGGAAGAGAAGAAGAAAACGCTCTACCTCCGAGATTCTCAGAATTTTTATGTACAGATTTTCTCAAGTCCAGAATATAAAATTTAAGTCATTTTTAAGGCTCTAAACTTTAGAAGAATTACGGTATTAAAAACCTCCGAATTCATCTGTCTTAAAAAACTTTTGAAATGAGAGTTAACAGAAGTGTTTTGATCTCCATTTAATACAGTAGAAAGACTGTAGATGGGGAGAGCTGCGTTTTCTTTCTTGTTTTCCATGAGCTTTGTGGGATAGGAAGGACTCTAGGACTTTCTGACGCTAGCTAATCATCTCAAGAGCTTTGACAAACTCACTTCAGTCCTGTGTAAAATCAGAGCTTCAACGCCCAGGCGGCTCTGCTCTGCCCCTCCCCTCAGCTTCGTGCAGGCTTTCTCACATGCAAACTTCTCAGAGGCAGGAAATACTTTGCAGGCAATCTGGGCCTGGTTGTGGAGGCCCCTCTCGCAAAACATCAGTCTGCATTTAGAAGACAGAAGTCACTAGGAACGCCTTGACAGGATCCGGCTTTAGCTGAGGCTCCCTCCAGCTGCAGAGGGTGTTTTTGTTAGAATCATACACTGCGTGCATAAGGAGAACTGCTTAGAATAGAGCTGTGACCTCAGCCACGAAATGTGAACTTAGATTCTGGGGACTCTAACGGGACGGACTCTTCTCCTACCCTGTCTGGAACAGCATCATGCCTTGGCAGCACAGAGAAACTCCTGGTCCAGGTAAGAGGCTGAGATTGTCATCTAGGAGGCAGAGTGGGAATCCTTGGCATCTTCAGCCAGATGTTGACTGGTTTCAGAGCCGAGCCCAGAAAGCAGAAGGGGAAAATGTTTAATCAGGAGAGAGCTGTGAGTCAAATCTTTTTAGCAAAATGTCATTTCTAAAATATGTTCCACATAGCTTGAGTCTCTTTCTCCGTATAGAAATGCTTCATTTTAATTCCCCTTTACTCTTAACTTAGTGACCAACCCATCTATAATGTTCTGCATTGCTTGAGGTCAATGAATCTTTTCACACCGAAGTGTGAAACTTTAGGGAATCCTTCCTCCTCTCTGTTTTCCCAACAAAAATAGTACATAACATGATAGTGATTTTTTTTTCTTAATAATGAGCCTTCAAAGAATATTCTGTGTCTTCTTGAAAACTGGGAAGATCAAATTCTTTAATTTTGCTCCCGATTAGTTTCAATTGCATATCCAATTACTAATGTATACCTTAGATTATTTTTAATAGATGTAATGACATGCAAAATTACCAATTATTTCTGTCTTTACATATTTAATTTCAGTTTGGCAATTTAAAAGTCAAAATTGGGTTTTGTTTACATTAACCTTGAATTAACTTTCAGATCTTATGTTGTATGAGTACTCTCTGTGTGTAACTAAAGCCATCTGAAGGGTAGTGTAACCCTGTCAGTCACATGAAAACTTAAAGCTGACCATATATTCATCCTTCATGTCATGATGAACTCATTATCACCACACTTCAATCTTCTAAATTGTCTTAATGGTTCAATGTATGATCCATGAGCATATAATTATGGCAAGGGTTGAAATAGCCTAGAGTTATAGTAATAGACATGATGTAATATTTCTGAATATTTAGAAGGAAATTATTTTGAAAACTTATATGAAAGAGCAGTATGAAAAGTGAACAAACATTCCTGCCTATCTCCAAATCTCTGAAACAAACACAAAATTAGCTAAGTGAAGGATGGAGAGCAGTTTTGACAGTTGGATCATAAGAAATCAATAAGGATTTCAATCATAAACTTTTATAAAGAACAACTGACCATTTGCTGTGTTAGCTAACTTAATTCTTAATTTCTAGGCTAGAATGATTTATATTTATGCTTTGACATTGTCACTAACAATCAAAACTTTATTAAAGCATTTTAAAATATGAGAAAAACACATTGTAATATGTTGGAAGTGAAATAGGAATTTAGGAGTACAGATCAGTGGTGGGGCAGTGGTTTACCATGTGCAAGGTCCTGGGTTCAATTCCCAGAGTCAACAAGGAAAATGAATTTTTGTATATCTAAATTACTTAGTAGAATAACTGAGTAGAATGATAGGGGAAGAAAAGGCATTAATATCACTATCTCTGGTGTAGTCAGAGATTGCCAACAAGGATGCTAAGGAATGACATTAAAAAATATCCTGTTCAAAGTCATACTGCTGGCTAGTAGAAGAGATGACAAGGAAACCACAGTCTCCTGCCTTATGTGCTATGGTCTTTATACCACATACCTACCTCTCAAAATATAGCTATGCACAGTGAAGTGTGATCTTGTCCATCCAATCAGAGGCTACTTTTCAGAAAGGAAATCAAAATTAAAAAAAACTAAATTAATTAATGACCACCATTGTCTCAATGGCCAAGACTTCTTAAAATGATTCATTATGCTTTCATCTCAGGCTTTAAGTAGTAACTTGCAGACTTTATGTAGTAACTTGCTCACATTCTTATGCCAAGCAAGCCAATCCATATGCTACAATGATACTCATTTAAGTCTAGTGTTTCTTTCAAGAAAATGACCTAATTAGGGACTTGTTGTTTCATATTCTTATATTTGAAGAACGTAATAAAATGTTATCCCCACCAATGACTTTCAGACGTAATTTTACAATCTTTTCTCCATTATAATCATCTCAAGACTCTCGTGAATCTTTCTATAATCTTAGTTAAATACCGCTGCAGCTTATTTCCAGTTCTAAGTGCCAACAGTCTATATGTTCATAAGAAAATATAAGTGTTCATATAATAAAATACTTTAATACAGTGGTTATCAGCCTTCCTAATTCTGCAACACATTAATATACTTCTTCACATTGTGGTGACCTCCCAACCAGAAAATTATTCTTATTGCTACTAGTATGCATTATAATGTAAATATCTACTATGCAACCTCAGAGGGGTCCTGTCCCACTGGTTGATAACCACTGTTCTAGTAGTATAATACATACCTCTTTTACATTATATGACAGCTGACCAGTGCAGCAGCAAATGAGAGGGATGGCTAATTCATCTGTGCTTAACATCCCTTCTGACAACATATACATGCTACAGCAGTGTGCTTTGCAAGGGAAAGCTTTTCCCATAAAACTAATATGTTCTGTTTCTAATGGGTGTCCTTTCCTCACAGTGGTGTGAGAGTCATTTCTGAGATATCTCACATTTTTTATTTGTTTCTTCTTTGAAAGTGAAAAAAAGTGATATTGGCTTGCAATGAGAAAACTCTTTTTTATAACATTTTTAATTTAGGAAGTCTTTAGATAATAAATGACCCATGGTTGACTCATAGGATTTTGTTTTTAGCATTAAGATCACCATTTCTGACTGTGGACAACTCTTATTCTTTTGGCTTGAAGGCATTTTTACCCACCAAACCATTCCTTCTGTAACTCAGGAAGAGTGTTCCCAGCCCATTTACTGCTCTCACTGAAGTTCTTTGGGTCCCATATTTCATTTCCTCATCCCCCTCTGAGTCTAGCTAGATTGCAGAGTTAAGTTTGTAATTTTGAGTAAAAAACTAAAAAAAAAAAAAAGAAGAAGAAGAAGAAGAAGAATTATCAATAGTTATGCATGGGAGTACTTCCTTAAGGCCAAAATTTTAAACCAAACGAGCCTCAGGGAAATGTCCCTCTTGATCAGCCTTGAGGTATTACGGTACTATGGTACTATGCATCTTCTCTGACTTAAGTCTATCAACTTAAGAGTTGTGAAACATACATGGGTTTAGTTTTCAAAAAAAAATGTTTTGCAAAATGAAGGCAAACTATAGACATTGAAATCTGGCTGGATGGAGGTTGATTTTATTCAAGAGATTATAAAGTACTTACATACATAACCTTGATGAGAATTGACAGGGAAGAAAATGCCAGAGCAAAATTTTAACTACGAAGCAATACAAATACCATTGTAAAGACTTTCCCATGAGCTGAGACGAATGAGGGGTGGAAAGGATGGCAGCAGTTGTTTGCATGTTTTAAGCATTTGTACTGCATGAAATCTCAGTGTTTTAGCAATACTATCTAGCTAAATCAAACAGAAATTGGAACTACTATTGGCAGTGGCAAAAAGGAGGAAAATCACAGAGCAAATTTAGAGAGTTTATTTCATTCTCAGCAACTAAAAAATATCTCTAACATGATAGAATTGCCAATACCTGTTCATAGGTAAGCTGTGGGATGAATTTGGAACAAGGGGGAAAAAAGAGGAAACAGGGTTGCAGAATGTTAATGTGTGAGAGCTGGGCTTTCACCCTGTTCCCTACACATCCTGAAATGACAGAGTAATACTTGTTAAAGGGGAAGAAAAAATAAGTGGTTGGCAGAAGCCATCAGAAGCTGAGGCCAGAGGTTAACAACACTCTTATAAAATGACATTACAATTCATTAAGGACCAGAGGCACAGGCTTCCACAAATAGTTTGAAATGAAAGCTTATGTGAGGCCAGCATGAGGTGAGTGAGTGGCTTTTTCAGTATCCATAGGGCAGGATCTTGACTAATCATAAAAGTTTCAGAACACTGACTCTGATTCCATCTCTACCACTTGATGCTACTCGATTTGAGTCACCATGACTCACATTTTGATCTAACACATCCACACTGAAACAACATGAGCTGTCACAGGGTCATCCCAGCTCATATTCAGCTATGATTCTACAGCTGGAGGAATCCTCGAGAAATCATCCCCTCCTCCTTCTCTCCCCACATCAGCATCACTTTGCATCTAGTGGGTGCCTGAAATGTACCTTAGACTAAATGCTCTATTTATTCTCTCCTCTCTCTCTCTCTCTCTCTCTCTCTCTCTCTCTCTCTCTCTCTCTCACTCTGTTTAGGTTTTTCAAGACAGGAGTTCTCTGTGTAGCTCTTGTAGACCAGGCTGGCCTGGAACTCACAGAGTTCTGCCTGCCTTTGCCTCCCAAGTGCTGGGATTAAAGGTGTGTGCCACCACCACCAGGCTCTGTTATTTTTATATCATGTGACATAACTCTTTATTATTTTCCTATCATTTTTTTCTTCATGACTGTCATTGCAGCTGTGGGGAAATCAAGGATTAAGAAACAAGTGAAATCTCCAGGGGAAAAATATGCGTTAACAGATATCGTGCCTACGCAGACACACAACACAACACACACACACACAGAGAGAGTGGGGGGGGATCTGCCTACTGAAATTTTACTTAACATTGAGCTAATCAGTTCTCTCAATGTTTCTCTTTATAAAATTGAGCAATGACAGTGATTTTTGTAGGGTATTTGTATTGTCACTAAAATACATCCATTTTATGTGTCTGATAAATGGAAGCTTTTCTTATAATTGCTATTATTCTTATCTTCAAAAGTTTCTAATGCCCATAATATTACATTGGTATGTAGAAAACCGTCCGCTGACAAAATTTGGCTCAAATGTGTATTCCATAGATAGATGACAAAGATGAAATTATACATACTACACATAATAAACAAAACTTGAAATCTAATGTGCTGGCCTCTGAAAGGATACCGAGATGACAGGCAGAGATTAATTCCCATGAATTTCTTCTTGATTTCAGTGAAAGTTGCACCTAAGGAACAGCTAAAGGTTTGGTTTCCGGTTGTCACCTGGTTATCTAAGCATCTGTGTCAACGGTGCTGTATGCATGGTGTCTCTTATTTACACTGAGTGATTACACTATTTCTATTGCAAGAGAGTTCCTAGAAATGATAAGCAG